GCCAAAATATTGTAGAAGGGAAAAAATAATATCTTATTCCAAACAAAATTGTAATGAACTTTGAGCTAACCCCTTAAATGGGTTTCTGGTTATGAAAGGATATTATGCTTAAGCCATTTGTGATCTTAGACCTTAAATTACTCCAAACTAAATGCTTAATTACTAATCTAAGCAATTTGTCCCTGGAATGTTTCAAAACCTTGCGGAACAATGAAGTGTAACATGTCACTTGGAGACCTTTGAACTTTTATAATCCAAATGGACCCAATCTTAAAACTAATGGCATTTCAGAAATTTTTCCTTGTGAGTTACATAAACTATACCTTACAATGTTACACATATATTTAAAGGAAGTTAAACTTTTTTGCCATCTTGAGATTTTAAATCTAATTACCCTCAAAAATCAGTTGGTGGCCATTATCTGGGGGGGAAGGGGCAATGTTCCTACCCAAGCCTAAAAACTTAGGCTTACCCCTGAATGTAAAATATTGTTTGTTTTCCCCCACTCCGCGAACCACCTCAAATAGCACAGTACCTAAAATACTTATTGCCCCAGGATTTGGGTTTACTAAAATGAAATCAGATGTCAATAGAATGACATCTTTTTAACCCGTCTCGTGCAATTTCTTAATTGTAAAATTACAAAATGTTGGGATATTTTGTTTGATTGAATCTGAAAATATGGTTCTAAATTTTCAAATAAAAACAGATGCTTTCATGCACAACAATTTGTTTGAACTACACCCTTAAATTTTTTAATTTGAAAATAAAAACAAGGGACAAAACATTTTGAATTTAACTAGGAATGTGTCCATAGGACACGGGTCCCCCTACGCGCCACTGTTCTGTCAATCTAATGACTCTAGGTTTCAAATATTTTTTTGAAAACTGTTTACTAAAATAAAGGGCAAGAACTTTACAAATACTGAATAAATTCAACAAGTAAACCCCAAAGGTGCATAAGTACACATGCTGACCAACATTCTTTTTCAAAAATTCAGGCCTTTACAAGTGAAATACTTTTTTGAAGCTATGCATGAAACAATTTGAAAAATTGTAAATTAAAATTCGATAAAATTAAAGTGAACCTGTTAAGTAGCCCACTCCTTATTGTCTTTTATTTATATTTTATCCCCTGTGGATTATTAATTATGGAGTTTAAATGATAAATTATTTATGTTTGGCTGAATTTGAAATGAAAAGAAAAATAAATATTTTTGAGCTAATGCATGAAACAAGTTGAAAATTTTAAATTTATACTACTGTTAAGTCAAGGGCAATAACTCTAACAAAACTGAAAAAAATCCAAATGAAAGTCCTAGGTTCATATCTTCACAGTGATGTAAATCATTATCCTGTTAATTTAGTGTGTTGTCATTATTCCTGTAAAGTTGGTTGTTCTCACTCAAAGCACTCAAGGAAACAAATAACACATAATGAAATGTTTTTTACTTGTCAAGGGGAAATAACTCTACAAATATGGATAAATCCACAACCAAAAACCCCAGGTGCAAAACTAAATATCTGAGCAACCTTTTCCCGTAAGGTTTTTAATGACTCATGTCAAATCCTTTTTTTGAGTTAATGTGACACAAGTTTGAAAAACTGCAAAATTTTTTACCAAGTCAAGGGCAATAACTTCTAAAATCCTTTTAATAATTCCAGACGAAAATACCCCAGAATGCGCATTTATAAACATGCTGATTAAACATTCCGTAAAGTTTTCATGACTCTAAGTCAAATACTTTTTGGGGAGTTTTACATCCAACACAAGTTGAAAATTGGCAAAAATTTTTAAAGTCAAGGGCCAATAACTCTCAAAAATACTAAATCCGACGAAAATACCTAGGTGCACAACTTACAACATAAATGTTCAACATTTCCTGGTAAAGTTTTCATTGTGTAGTTCAAAATACTTCTTGAAGTAACATGCGACACCAAGTTGAAAACTTGCAAAAAATTCCCAATGGCAGTAACTTCTGAAAAATACTTAAAAATATCCAGATTGAAAAAACCAGGGTGAACAACTACACTTTGCTGATCAACATTACAGTAAAGGTTTAAAAATGAACTCTAGGTGAAATAACGGACGGAAACGGACAAGGGTAAATCTTCTAAAATGCCCGCCACTAAAGTGGGGGCAACCAAAAAATAAAATATTTTAAATCACCCACCTATCCTATTCTAAACTGGAATGGGATGAGGGGAGTAAAATACAAAGATAATTTTAAGGGTTTTTTTTTTTAGCCTTTGTTTGATTGAACAAGGATTTTATAAGATAAAATCCCCTGGTCATTGGTCCTAATAAACTAAGACATTGGACTACAAACAATTCATAGACTTAAATAACATAACTAGTCTCCGCGAGTCGGAAATGTGTTGCCTTGTGAACAATATAAGTTTAGGGAGAAAATGGCCAAGACAAAAATGAAAATATGAAAATTAACAAAGGGGGCAATAAAGTTAAAACCACTAATAGCAAATAACAAGCAAAAGCCAAAATTTAGAAATTTTAACCTTTTGAAGGTCAAGGTCAATTAGAAAGAAGGGCCAAGGTTAGACAATACACCAAGAACTTTAAAAGTTGAACAAGGTTCAAGTTTGCAGAAGGCAACGGAGCAACCTCTATTTCTTTTTTCAAAAAAAAAAAAAAGAAAAGCTGAGCTAAGGTGAAATTGACATAGTAATTATATCAAAAAGATATAATTGGGAATAATTTACTTTTAACTTTGTTACTACATTAAAGCCATAAGCAGCACTTTATACTTTATTTAGATTGGATAATATTTTCACTTGTATAAAAAGTAGTCATTTTTCGACAAAATATTAAAAAACAAGACCTTGAGTCATGACAAATGAATCAAGAGAATTTTTTTTCGAAAAAAGGGATAGTACAGTGCCATATTCTAAAAAGATATTTTCATAAAACTATCCATGAATACCAGGTGTTCCCAATTAAGCTTTAAAATATGTTTGAATAGTTGGGCAATAGTGTAACACAACAACTATTTTCAATTCTTTCCCCAATAAAAAGTCCAATTTCACTAATCTTGATTTATGTTCCTCATGGGAATGGCTCGGGTAGGGCCTTCGGCTAACTTTGGGCCAAAATTTTTTTGAAATGGGGGTCATCTTCCCTCTAACTTTCTATTTTTATATATCCCCTCCCATGTCACTAATTCTCAGATTTATTTAGCATCATGAAAAATGGTATAATGATACTTTTTCTTCTTCTTTAATTCATCCAGACTCGCTGAAAGTCTGAAATGAGAAATAAACAAGCCTGTTATAACAAAAATCATAAGTGTATACAATTCTCAAAATGCATTACATGTAATTATGTCTCAAAATTTATTAGTCAGGTTATTCAGAGACTGCAAAATCTCTTTTGATTGAAATTAATATTATATAGGCAATATAAATGCATAGTGATCACACTTTCAATAAAAATATCTTATAATTCATAGAGGCAGGAACATTTAATACTAAGATATGCAGCATTTATATTCATATGCAAAAATGAAAAAAAAAATGTTGAGAATCTATATGCCCAAAGAAGATAAAGCACAACATTTTATTTAGGTTTTGCCTCTTTATATGTTTGAAGAACTGAAAATCTTTCTATTGAAATAAACAAAGAAACATGCTACATCCATATTAGACTCAGTACAGAGTACATCTTATGTTGAACATTATTATAGTTCCAAACAATTCACTTTATTAAACACAAACTGGACACTGTTTTCTTTCATTCTGTAAAATTGTGAAACATTACATGTTGGAAGTTTTGTAAGTAGCATACCTAACAGATCCCCCTTGTTGGTGATGTATGGTCTATTTGCATGTATATTATAATCTATGGCTGCAAGAAGATTGTGCATCCTATAAACAGGTGGTGTGTAAGCAAATCTTTTGTACAATACATCAAGATGTGCTGGTGAAACCCCTACATGCCAGCTGTACTTTCTAAAAATGAATACAAATAATGGAAAGATATTTTCATTTAAATGATTTTAGTAAGAAAAATCCTTTAACATTAACATATTCATATGCTAGATATAATCTCTGTATGTAAATAATTATCTTTGAAAAGATTTTACACAGCTCTATCCCTCAATTGATAAGTGCAATAAAGGTGCCAATTAATTTATACATAATGGTTTGTAGGTCCATTTGCGTTAACATATAAAGGTGGCTGTAAACATTGAACATTCTATAATCAAATAGACATATGAGCTTTGTATTAATCAGGACATATACTCCTTTCCAGATAGGAAAATAAATCCTTTTAAAAATTTCACTCAAACTGCTAGCATATCTTAACAAAGATAGACATATCTCCTTTGCAGAATTAATGGTTCCAACATTGGAGCCATTGGCTTCAACTTTTTTGATTGGCCAATCTGGTGGTGCAAACTAAAATTGCTCCAGGGGGAACCCTGTCAATATAAATTTCTTTTTTGTACCTGATGAGAACATACCTGCAGTCATCTTATTCAGAACACCAGCCCAGATCTTTCAGACTATGTGCATCTTATTTCCTTTGCAGTCATGGTTTGTGCTGGTTTCTAATGGGCCATGATTGTATAGGCATTGGTGTATTCCATCATCTGAAAACAGAATCCATTATGCTCAATAACTATAAGATTGATGCAGACACTAAAATATATTATTCCCTGAAATAAAATATCAAGACAAATAAGCATGCATTAAAAAATGGCAAAGAAGTCAGCCTTCAACAAGTTTTATGAAACATTACTAAGCATTTCACATTTATTTTACATATAAAAATGCTTACCATAAACCTATGAAGTATTCCACATTATGCATCAAAACATCTTGCATGCATTAATTTTCTTGCAACAAATGACAATTATGTATTGGCTTTTGCTATCTAGAATTTTATCTAAATATTTCTTGAGCAACAGAATAATCATATAAAAATATCAAACATTCAAAACAAAATCAAATATATAATAATTGTTTACTTACCATGAATAAGTTTATAGTCTGTAGCAGTTTTATAACTAAACCATAAATGAATGGTTGTGTCTCAATTCAACTCCAAAAGGATTTTATTGGCTTTCTTTAGTGCTACCTGAAGATTAAACCATAACTTGCTTAAGATTTAGAAGAAAAAAAAATCAATTGTGGAATTCCTTTTCATTTTAGCGAAAAATATTCTACATAAGAATTGTAAATATATTCAGTCTTCACCTACATTTACTATAGGACATGAATCTGCCCTTGTTATTAACAACAAATACAGCAGTATTGCATGCAGTGATAACACCAGTCTATTAAAAATTCTTAGTTTAAAAGGGATAATTATAACTTAAAAAATATTGCTTTCACAGTCATTGAATTTAAGATTTTGAATTCACTGGCCCCAATTCCAGTTTTGAATTTATTCTACTATATATTTAACTACATTTTCTTAAAATTTACACTGGCCCAAACTAATTTTCACTGGCCATGGGTCACCGGGCCAGTGCTAAATTCAATGACTGCTTTCATAAGAACATGTATGCTCCCCTGTTTAACAATTACACTTTGTCCTGATAAGCAAGTCTTTCAAGTTTCATGTTGATACATTTCAAAATATTTAAATAATGCAATTGTATGCCAACATAGCAATCTGACATAGAATACATGTAATAGCTTTGAAAAAAAAAGCTAGAAATTAGTAATTCATGATGTTTGATTGTAACTAAGAAAGTATACTCCACTTTTGAGGAATCTGTAACTATTTTGTTGTATGGTCTGAGAATTGACTACATAACAGAATCCTTTCCGCGTCACGACAAAACCAACATAGTGCGTTTGCGACCAGCATGCGCATCCGCGCAGTCTGATCAGGATCCATGCTGTTCGCTATCCGTTTCTCTACTTGTTATAGGGTTTGTAAGCGAACAACATGGATCCTGATCAGACTGCGCGGATGCGCAGGCTGGTCTGGATCCATGCTGGTCGCAAAACCATTATGTTGGTTTTGTCATGACGCGGCTCATATATATTTTTTCACAAGTGGATTTAAAACCTATAATGACCCTCTATTATTTTTTCACCTCAGTGAACAATTATCTATAATAATATTATGGAGTCATACAAATATCAAACTCATCATTTAAGATGACACCAAAATCTTTCAATTGGACCAAAATTAACCATGTAATGCATGTTTTTTTTTCTTCTTCTAATACAGTATTATATGCCACTTAAAAAATGTCATTATTGTTTAATATTTAAATCATATGAATATTTTGAAAGGTATTATTATAACCTGTCACTTTCGACAAAAATGGTGTACTTACTCTCCTCTGCATATGCACTGAAGTCCAGGTCATCTTTGATGTCCCTGGTAGTGGTATTGCAACACATGATGACGATGAAATTGATTTAATTCTGTAATTGAAAATATAGCATACTAGTACCATGGCCTAAAATCTTGACTATTCAAACCAATTACAATACATGAATTGCTGCACTGCTTATAAGGAAGAAGGTTTGTCAATAAGAATTATCTAACAATTCCAGCACAATTATGGTTATTGTCCATCACTCCATGATTATTTTTCAAATTGTGAAATGCTGAAATTTTACTGCAAAAATGATTCAAATGAGACAACAATATTGATTTTTGTGCGATTTTCCAGACAACATTTTATTTTTTCTACTTTATTTCTTTGAAGAGTCAACAAGCCTGGATAGTAGATCAATATATCGGACTTACGGGCTTGTTATTGCTTAAATGTCGGTCAAGGTTGCCCAAAAGCAAAAATATCTCAAAATCAAAGGACGTCATATTTATAGGACTACCCTTGATAGTTGAACATGCTTGGAAGAAATGTCTGTTCTGCTAGTCAATAGTTCTAACCCTTTTTGAGACACATGTGTCTAATCTATTTCACAGCATTGTAGTTACTATACAGTACAGCTTACAGTAAAAAACAATAATGTAATTGGGAAATAAAAGTTATTCAAAATATAATTTTGTTGTGTCTTAAATGATTCTTAAAAGATAGTGATTGGCCATCTTAAACGATATTACAATGGTTACAATGAACATACGCCATAAAATTGTAAAGGATTAGGCTCAGCCGATCTTTTATTTAACCTGTTAACAATTTATTGGTACGAAAATGGGTCCGTACGAAAATTACAGTGAACGAAAACTTGATACACAGACGTGGATCTGCAAGCTTAATTTCTTTATCATAAGTCAAAACCATCCTAAAAACTATAACACAATATCTGTGTTTATGTATTCGTAGGTGAAATTTTTCTATAAGTAGATCTAAGACCAAGAAAAATTTAAATGCAAACAAAAACGATGATCACCTCACCTGTCAATCAGATAACAACTTCACGGTCGCTTTTGGTTTTATTTACCCTTTTTAGAACTTTTCATCGCTTTGAATCACTACCGGAGTATATCCTTGGTTGAATTAAATCACAGTTTCTTTCCACTTTTCGCTTTTTCCTTTCACAATCTCAAAATTTATTTCTCGTATACGTGACACACCTTTCGTATTGTCCGCCATTATTTTGGTTTGGTAAAATCATATCACGTGACTCAGACGAACATTTACTCGAAGGGCTTCCCGCCAAATATAAATCTTATTTGACTAACCCAGTCAAATAAGAAAATGCATTTTTTTAGAATGGTCCGGAGAGCGTTTTTAGTTGGAAAAACTTTGTCAATACTAGTTAAATAATGCATTTGATAACAAATAGGCGTTAAATTTGACAATCTGTTTTGATGAATTTGACCAGGAATATAACTTTAAGTCTTAGTGACACACACAATGAATTTATAATTGTTGTCAATTTTATTAAATTTCTTAAATTTCTGAAAGAAACAATTTGCCCGTTTAGCGTGTTATTCAAACATTACAATTGTGTTATGTTTTATTTAATACGCATGAAAAGTAATTGCAAACGTCAAATTGTTTGCGAATTCAAACGATAATTTAATTAGCATCATCATCTAAGAAGGAAAAATATACATAACATTTTAGCTTGTTTGGCGATTGTAAGTCGTTGAAAATAACTCGACTATATATACTGTGCGCAGTAAAAGTGAGTAGTCTGTAAGAAACATTATAACTTGTATGTAACAAACTTTTATTATACTTTCACTCCCCAATTTACCTTTAAAGCATGGGTATTTTATATATGGTCATTCCTGTTTCATACGCATGTATACTACTTTTGTTGCAATAATGGCATATATAAGTCAGTTATGAACGTTTTACTTACCACAAAGTTTAAGGAAAATAGGTAAAATACCAAATAGGGGGGTGTTAAAAAAGTCATGATTTTATTTTATTTATATGGACAGCTGCACTTAATATTCATATAAAATACTTTGATACTATACAGATTCTGAACAGATTATGGTAATCAATAGTTCTAGTTGATTTTTTATTTATAAAATAGAACGAGAAGAGCATATGTACAAATGGACATTCTAATCTTAGATTTAACTTTCAATAAGTATGACACAAACTAAAAGTCGCCCATTGTTTCTGAATTAAAATTTCAAGTATATTTCTATATTTTACTGTATTGTCTTTTATTTTCTATAAAATGTGTGTGAGTGAGAGAATGATATCGATATCAACTTTACATTGTTTTAACGAACATATATTCAATAAGATATACTAATATAACGCCCTGCACATATAATGCATTTTTTGTTATTATTATAAATTCATACAAAACATTAATATTCATAAAAAGTTTACACGATAATCTCCCTGTATTTTACAAATGTTAATATCGTCTCTGTGTCATGATAAAGTGACAGTAACAGCTATTTTATTTTTTTAATTGGACTTTTTGTCTTCTTTTCCCTGAATAAATATAACAATCAAGAAACTTTGGGTGTAAAGTTTTAAAATAAGCTGTCATCATATAATATGTATAGGACAACAAGTTAAACTATTTATATTATAAAATTGTACCTTTTGACTTTTCAGCTTCTTTGTTTGATTCAAACACATGAATGAATGTACAAGCATTGAAAGATATATAACTTCTTTAGAAAACGTAATTCTACATTTTAAGTTTCACAACATGAAGTCGCAACCAATGTTTATACTGTCATTTATTTAATACTATCTTTAGTATATGTTTAAACAAATTGTTGAGTGTCTTTCGAAAGTATATGAGTCCAGTAAAAAGTAATGGTAAACCACGCGCTATACTTGTCAAGTTTGCGACCTACCGCGCTCGGCAGAAGATCTACAAAATGCGTAAAGAACTCCGGTCAAAGGGTCACAATATGGTTTTCTTTAATGAAGATCTAACAAAGCAGCGCTCAGAATTGTTGTTTCATGCAAGAAGGCTAACTCAGGCTGGCTCAATTGACAGTGCTTGGTCTTCAGATGGAAATGTGCTTATCAAAGTCACAAGAAACGGTTCAACTAATATAAAACGCATCTCTTCTATAGACGAACTGAAACAGTATAAATCATATGCTGATGTTGTTAGTTTTAAATAAGTGAAAGACGCGCTATTTTAGTAGTGTAGTGTGACAACTTTTCAACGGATTTATAGAGCCGTTATATACCACGTTAAATCACGTGTCCAATACAAAGTGAAATAAACGGTTAATTATCACTGTAACATTGTACCGTTAAATATTTTACATGTAATCAGTTCAAACTACCTTATCTACCTGCTGTTTAAGTTGAAACTTGATAATATTTTAAATGGTAATGAGTAAAGAACTAAAAGAATTAAAATTAGGAGAATAAAAAAAAATGATGATATTAATAGTCTTACTATGATCGCTTAAAACAATACACATGCATATGACGTTTTCTGACTGTTAGTCTAGAAAATTTTGAATGCGTGATGTGTGTGACTGTATACTAGATAAGGCTATATTTTATCAATAGAGATACAATTTTTTTTTCTAAAAAAACTTAGACTACCTATGGACTTTTTGAATACTTTTTATGATTATATTCCTTTCTTATTATTTTCCCCTTTAAATATCTTATCCAATTATAAGTAAACATGCTGGTATTTTAGTACTGTAACAATTCAAGCTGGGAATATACAATGTAAGGTCAGTTGGAGGTAGATGGATGAGTCTTGTAGGTGTGGATTGACCTTATCACTTGACAAAATCCATCTTGAACTTCATCTGTTTTTTTTTGTTTTTGTTTTCGTTCCCTTATTCTAAATTTTAAGTGATAAAATATAATAATCATAAAAACACATAGTATAAGTTGTTTATATTGTCCTCTGCTTTGGACATGATTTATGTTTATAAATAGTGTATACATTAACTATCAAGCTGGGAATATACAATGTAAGGTCAGTTGGAGGTAGATGGATGAGTCTTGTTGGTGTGGATTGACCTTATCACTTGACAAAATCCATCTTGAACTTCATCTATTTTTTTGTTTGTTTTGTTTTGTTTAAACACTTAAATAGCTTATCTTATAATCATACCAAATGCATCTTAAGGCACTAGTCATAATTGTATTGTTTCTTTTGGTTTTTATTATTATTATTATTATTATTTTGATATAACTGTTTTGTATCTTAAATAATATTAGTAGAAATGACTATTAACAGCTGTTGTTTTGTGTCCATCGATCATTTCTTGTTTTTTCGTTTTCGGACAAGACTGTTTTCTATATGGACACACTTAAAATAAAAAGCACATATGTTTGCAATTTTAAAATATACCCTGTATTATTTTGTATAATATCTTACTCTTGCTTTTTGTTGTTTTTTTTTCTGTTCTCAGTATACTTTTGAAATGTTAATTTATATACTTTTTACTGTTGTCATTAAAATATAAATAGCTTAAACATCTTATTAGTATTGAATACTATCAAAATATAATATTTCACTTTGACCTTTGTCAATATAATCTGAATAAACACATGTATTTAAGAACTATCATATACTTCCGATCATCGACTACATAATGTTATATGACTGTTGTCTTTTATATTAGAAATTAATTTATATATGAGTAGTAATGAATAATTTAATTTTACTTAATTTTTCATTAAGTATGGATTAAGTATGAATAACTGCACTGAATAAAGCTCTTTAAAAGCTGACTTTTTGTTAAAAAATATTCATATTAAAAGATACATATTTTTATTTGGATTTTTTAAAGAAAATATGTTCATAGTACTAAGAATTAATTAAATATCAATTAAACAATAGCTTTCAAAGACTTTTCATGATCATAAAGCAAGAAAAGTCACGAAATATAACCATATTCTTCGATTGCAAGACTGAAATGAATTTTTAAGATACTTTCAGGAATTTAATAATAATTTTATAATTCAAATTATAAATTGTTAAATTATATCATTAAGAAATTTTTTTTTAGTTTCAAGATATCTTTAAAATATCCTCCATATGCTGATAAACTTCTATCAGATATGTCTTTGTATATTTTTTTATGTACCATTTCGCTTCTTTTGTTTTTTGTAATAGCTTACTTATTCATATTCATTCATTTTCCAATTTTTTACTGTTTGCTTGGCTGTTAATGCGAGAAATACGTTCATGTAAACACATTTATTATTTTTCTTTTAATCCGCCATGACCAAGACCTGTAATAAATCTTTCAGACCTCTTCCAATTTATAACACTTCCTTCAAATTTTCGCTTTCCGTTCATTTTTTCTTCTTGATGTCTCTGTATCAAACAAAGACATGTTTATGTTCTTTAAAGATTGTTATTGACTATTCATCAAGTATTTCACTATCCATAAGATACCAAAGTAGACGTGTTTATTTTGAATATTCAATGAATTCTTTGATTTTGTATATCATACCAACATCTATTTTATTAATGTCACTGTCATTCCTTCTTTGGATATGGATATTCATAAATATTTTTGGTGATGTTCAGCCCAACCCTGGACCTGCTTATACATCGGACATCTCCTCAGATTACAGTACATCATCTGATAATATGTCTTCATTACTAAACTTGCCAAATCACTTCTCTGTTGTTCACTATAATGTTCAAAGTATAATACATAAACTGGACTTACTTTCTTATGAGCTTCAATCATTTGATGTTTTATGCTTCACTGAAACATGGCTGTCTGTCTCGCACCATTCTGATGACTTAAGCTTCCGTTGCTTTCACCCAATAGTCAGAAGAGATAGGGAAAATGACAATCATGGTGGGGTAGCAATGTATATCAAAGATTCGTACCATTTCATTAGACGATATGACTTAGAACCAGTGGATATAGAATGTCTTTGGGTTGAGTTAAAATTAAAACATAATCATTCTATTCTTATTGGTACTTTCTATAGACCACCAAACTCAAGTGTTGACTATTTTACTCGTATAGAAGATGCTATTGGTCTTGCTGTAGATTCGGGAGTTTCGGATATTATTGTAACTGGGGACTTTAATCTAAATATCCTTCAACATTCAACATCACAAAAAATTACAAATCTTTGTCAACAATTTAGCATTACTCAACTTATTGACGAGCCTACACATTTTACTGAAACGTCATCATCTGTTATTGA